AAACCTGGGGCCTACATTACTTACAATGCAACTTGACCAGAGTTCAGTGGGATAGTCAGGTGTGTTATGTAGTGGTAGTAGTGGCTAATATAGCCTGGAGCCTCTAACCTGCAGCAGAGATGGGGAGATGGGGCTGCAGGGGTCTGATACACTAACTATTTATGTCATTTTAAAACTTTTAGTCGTCAGCCCTAACCAATGCTAACTCAAGTGACATCACTCGAGGACATTTATCAGACTTCACACAGCTCTAGGCTTGGGCGATCTTCTCTATTTTCATATCATCTGATCATGGCTACTTGATCACCCATTGACGATCTGATCGCCAGTGGGCAGTATTATGTTGCAGCAAGTCAATGAAATGCCAGCATGGAAGAAACGGGCTTATTAGCTTTAAGAGAAACCACCAGAAACATCTGTAAATGCACAGTACAGTGTTTCCCACAGAATTACAGCGTGCTAACCTCGACAATCCAGCTGCATGCTAACGTTAACATATCCTCATTAGCAAGGCTCCTTACATGCTTGCTTATAACTTATTTGAAGGTGGGTCTCCGACATTGACAGCGTTGTGTTGAGAAAATAGACAGACTGACTTCTCAGAGTTAACCTGAATCTCTAAAAACACACGGATCCATTATGATGTGTTTATGAGAGACCGAGAGAGAGTATGTAGTAATAGTATGTGTCGGTCAGCGTTGATATTTTGGCGTGTCATGTTGCCACAAATAAATCAGTGAATGGGAAACACTGCAGTGTGGTGCAGATTCAAGAGACTGTTTTTATGTCATCTTAGTTCTGATAGTAAGTTAGTTAAAATCACCTTAAAGGGGCATTATGGAGTTCCCAGCAGCCACTAGCGGTGCGGTTTTAAGACTGCAACCAGGCATGTGCTCGTACGTGTGCTCGCTTGAACTCATGTGCGAGCATAATCCGAAACACAACCGCTTTCATACAGAAATCCTGCAATAAATGCAGGCTGTGGCTTTTCACACAGACATGTTCAGGCTCTGTTACTTCAACGTTCCCGTCTCAGAGGCAGATCAACACCGGTGCCGTACCTTCCATTCAGGCCGCATGCTGCATATTGGCACAATCCTCCCGGAAAAAAGGCAGCTATAGACAGGCAAGGAGACAGCTTCACACTATATGCTGGAAACTCAGGTAAACCCCTACTGCAACGTTACAGTAATAGTTTTATCAACTGCAGGTTGAACTAATCCATGCTCATTACATGAATACGGTACATTTACTGCATTGAGCAAATGTGCTACAGCGTCAGCTCGCCTGCTGCTTTCCGTAACTATCTTTATTATTTGTGTATCTTCCACCGGAGGCTCAGCAATGTCAGCACAGCTAAATGTATTGGATGATAACTAAACGGGTAGTGAGCTGGACTGAATATTATAACGAGATTGTGTCACACTTTATAATAATAAGATCACAGTAAGTAACTTCACTGTACTGTTAGTGCAGGCTTTCTCTGTGTCTCCAGCTTTATGAATGCTCACTTTGTTTTTACTCTAAATCATCTGAACCCGTTTGGTCTGATGGGCTTCAGCACATAAAACTTTGTTATTTTGTATCCTAGCTTACGTGGAGCCTGTGTTTTGCTGTGAGCCGGTTGTTTTGTGGTGTTAGTGGTCTGCATGTCGTTAGCTGCAGTGTTGTCGCTGTAGTGTGAGAGGCTCAGGAGCGGCACAGGACTGAATTAGACCCGGTAAATGCAAATGTGAATGCTCTGTATTTGTATAGTGCCTTTCTAGTCTTTTCGACCACTCAAAGCGCTTTTACACTACATCTGCATTCACCATTCACACACATTCATACACTGGAAGAACAGCCACCAGGGACAATTCGGGGTTCAGTATCTTGCCCAAGGAAGGGATTGAACGCTGACCTTCCGATTAACGGGCAACCCGCTCTATCTCCTGAGCCACAGCCACTTTTAATGTGAGGAGCCCATTGACAACAAGGCAATAAAAAGATCAATTTCACTGAAAAACTTACATAAAGCCCCTTTAATATCGGGGCATGAAAAACCAATCGCCGGTCATCCCTTCAATCGTCGATAAGCGATCCAAGCGCCAATGCGATGAGCGATAAGCAATGAGTAGCTCCTCCTCTAACTTCTAACATGGACAAAAATCTTCATAAACATGTTTGACCTTGTTGGAACGATTGAAGAAAGAGACACTCAATGATAAAATGTCCTGAGTAGCAAAAGTGGAACAGAAGCCAACAAAGAGAATGGGTCTAAAGGGTCAGAGTTCACTGCTAGAGTAGGAGGAACAAATATTGTAGTGATCACATATATCACAGAGAGAGGCATCAGGGTTATTTTAGGTTTCCATTTTCAGATTCACTGTGCTTTTGCTCCAAAGCTAACATGCTTTTAACTGTCTCACAGCTTGGACGGCTCGGCTGCTCAGAGCCAAGCCAGGGCCCATTGGCTCCCACCAAGCTCCCAGAGAGGCCACCACTGGAATACCAGCCTCTAAAACGAGCGTCAAACCAAACAAACCCAAAGTCTCACGTGGCGTCCTGTCGCTTTTGGCTTCAGAAAGAGGAGTTCCATTCAGTTAAACAACCCAAAAGGCTTAATTGCTCTAATTGTTTGGGTTTTATTACCTGGGCTTTTCAACGTTTATGCAAATAAACACGTCTTAACAGTAATGTGTAATGTTTAACAGATCTTTCTATGTACCTTTACACACCTGGAAACACTTCAGAATTCAACCACCTGCATAAACACACTGTTAATTCTGTGTAATTAAAGACAATCCCTTAGTGTTTGGAAACAAGGTGACATCTGCAGAAAGTGATCCAAGCAAAACAACTAACTATTTGATGTTAGATTATATAATTAGCGGTGAACATCAGAAACCATTTTTTCCTCTAAAATAGTAGTATTTTGAGAAAGAAAATGTCCTAAATTGTGACACTTAAGAGCACTCAACCTTTTTTATTCTGAACCCACTGAGAGAAAAGTTATGCACCATGTGGCAAAGAATAGCAGCATCTAAAATGGCTATTGGCATAGTTCATGGTTAAACCACAAGAGCTCAAAATATAGATCTGATGCAACAGAATGAAACTGATTTATTTTATGTCTTACATGCACAGAAGAAGCAATCGGTTGGTTTAGTAAGAACTAAAGGTAAAAGGACCATTAGAGAAGCTTAAAACCCATTTCAGAGTACCACACACATTAGCCAGGCCTGAACATGTATCTTCTAACAGGACAGTGACCCTCAGGGGAAAAAAAGGAAAGGACTAACTACAGCAATGTAAAAGTCCTTGAGTAGACCAGCCAAAGCTCAGACTGAATCCCATTTAAATGTTGAACAATATGAAACAGCTATAACTGTGTGTGTGTGTCTTCTTGTGTTCGTGTGTGTGTGTGTGTGTGTATATATATAACACCAGAAGCTTGAGAAATACCAAGGTCTGAAAGAGGAGCTAGAAAAGATGTGGAAAGTAAGAGCAACAGTGGTGCCAGTGGTGATTGGAGCACTGGGGGCTGTGACCCCCAAACTGGGAAAGTGGCTACAGCAGATTCCAGGTAAAACATCAGAGGTCTCTGTCCAGAAGAGTGCAGTCCTGGGAACAGCTAAGATACTGCATAGAACCCTCAAACTCCCAGGCCCCACAAGGGATGATATATATATATATATATATATATATATATATATATATATATACACACACACACATTTTAAAAGTTGTGGTCCTGCTGACTTGTAGACAGACTTGACAAAGCATGAATTCATATGTTTAATAAATCTGCATCATATTGTAATTATTTTGGCATCAGTTTGATCCGTTTATTGCAATTAAATCACAGCAAAATGTTTACTTTGGGTCCATACAGCTATAGTAATCGTGAGTTGTGTTTATTACAGTAATTCTATATCTGATATGTTGAGATCCACTAAAGTTAGGCATGATAAGAGATGAAGAAATCCCAGGTTTTGTTATCTTCACCACCTTGACTATTAGGGAGCCGGGAGTGAGAGTCTGCTCTTCTTCATAATTTCCAGACCGAGCCACCACCTTCTCCTATCTGCCAGTTGTCTAGACGGTTATCTCTGCTGTCATGTACTGATTGAGCAACTTGAGCCATTCATGGGAGATTCCTGCTTAGAGCTTATAAAAGAAGGCAGTGTAAAGCCTGAGCTGAACACCACTCATGGGCCTCAGATCTGATGTTTTCTCATCAGCATCAAAGGAAACTCGTCCTTTTTCTCTGCTGATCTTGACATCAGGGATTTATGTTGCAAAATCAGATTCAGAGGGAAAAGAATTTGGTCAGAACAGAATTTATGTCCTTCATCTCAGACACTTATTTCCACTTTGAGGCCAATGGAGGAGGATAAACTAACACCAATTTAAGGATTCTCCCCTATTTTCTTAAGAGAAAACATCTTAAGTTTAGATAACAATTTATATCCAAGTGGACAGCATAATACACTCCATCACTATTGATACACCCCATACCACTTTGTATTTTACAAATGCTTCGATCAAAAAGGTCTATTTTAGACATTTACTGTATCTATTGTCTGTGGATGTTGATATTTTTTATTTTAAATTGTGGATTACTTACTCACTTATTTCTTTTTCTTTTATTTTGTAAAGTTTGCACTCTTGTTATTGTTAGCTTGTTTTGTTTATTTATTTCATTATTTCTTTATTTTGAATCGCTTTTATTTTATATATGGGTATATAAAATATATATATTATACTATATATATTATAAAATATATTATATATTTTATATAAGTCACTTTTTTCTTTACTACAGGAGTGCCCAGAAGATGTTGTAAAGGTAACTGGTTGATTATCTTTCCACAACTCTCATATTACTTATCTTTTTGGGTCACCAGCTCAACCGGACCCAGTGGACCAAATCAAACATTTTGAGGGGGTAGAAAAATCTGTTAATCTTGAATCAGTGTTAAAGTCATCGAGTGTTGCCTAGCCTGTAGGAAACTTACATAGATGTGTCTCTGCTGGTAGCGCTGGAAGAGGTTGTGCATGATAGCGCCATCATGAAGGTCCTCGAGGGTCGCCATGTCCTCCACCCCTCTGATGCTGCTGTGGTGCATGGGCTGCACCTTCTGTCGGGTGAGTGCATTCTGCTTGTAGGTGTACACCTGGATCAGAAAATGGAAAAAATATGGATGTGAGAACCATGACAAAGATGATATGCTGTAAGGCAGAGGATCACATGCTTCTGTATGGCTGTCACTGTGTTTTTCCCACTTCAACAATATAGAACTTTACAGGGGGGATTTATACTTAAAATAAATAGATCCAGCTTTCTCTCCGTTTGGCTTATTTATGACTGGGTGAGCTGGTCCAGGACGTATGATAAAGGCAAGACCACCAGACCACAGCAGATTTTCATAAATGTAAAAAAGAAATTAAAAAAAAAAATTCTTTCTTTAAAAGTCTAGTCACTAAACTACCAAAATGAATTCCCCTCATCGACTGCTCTGACAAACCTTCTAAGATCACAGCAAACATTACAACCATTTGCAACACCTTTTTGTGTCACAGTAATAATGATGCAGGATAGAAAACAGCTGGGAAAATGAACTGGATGAAGACAGAAAACATTAAGACAGACAGCAGTGTGACTTTATATTTTTCTCTCTAAACATTACCAGATATTTTGATGTTAAAAATGATCAGTACCAGCTATTTTTTGTTGTTGCAAAAAGAAATGATTGAGCAGAAGTTCTGGTGTTGTTTTCATCCAACAACAGTAGAGGAAGATGAATGTTATATACTGTAAGGTGGTGAAACTTTGACAGGAATCATATGTCAGGTACCTGATCTGCTGATGCTGACAGCCTCTCTCTGTTTGACTGACTGGTCAGACAGTTTAACTGTATGATGTATAGCAAGAAACATCCTGACTGACAGATTATATCTCATGTTACCGGAAGAGTGTTTAGTGTGGAAGAAAGCCTGGAGGTTAGAGAGTGGAGTGGTTGAAATGTATATACAAGAGTGAAAGTACGTGCAGCTGAAATAAAGCAGCTTTTAGTGGTGGAAGAAGAACTCAAAGCCTTTACTTACAAACAAGCAGTAACACAGTACCCACATTTTAGAAAGCAGTATCAACAGTATCCAAAGTAAAAGTACAAATCCGAAGAGGAATAGAGTACATTTTTCTGTTAGATTAAGAAGGAAGGAAAGGAAAAATGAAACTGATGGATAGAAAGTTCCAGGTTCTCTTTAGATAATGTCTAAAAGTTGTTGAGTCCCAGCGCTAAAACAGATGTCCTGTGTTCTTCAGATTTCCTGATATCTACATTTTGGAGGTGCAAGATTTTAACTCATCTCACTCATCAGCAGCTATACTGTTTTTATGTAATGTTAGACATGAAATCTGAATCTGATTTTATATGCTTTATGTACCTTCTTGAATACTGGTTTTTAATGGTCTGTCTGTGGTTGACAGTAATTGTTATTTGTTGTCAAGTCTCATCAGAAAAAGAGATCTTGATCTCGATGACACTACATTAAATGCATTTTCTAAATTCCATCCATCGGACAAATGTAATGAAGTAAAAAGAACAATATTTCCCTTTGAAATGTGCTGGAGAAAAAGTCTACAAAAAGTACTGTTCTTGAGTAAAAGTACATGCTTGCCTCCTCTGGCTGGTTGCTTGTTAAGTACCATTAATTGTATCCTGTAGGCAGAACCCTCCTCTTCTTGTTGGACAAACAATACTCCTCACAGTTTGCATTTCATGTCAGCGTCCACACAGGTGACATATGGCAGCTAGCTGGGGTAAATATGACCCTTCTGGGTTGGTGAAAACAGGTCAGGAGCTGGATGAGGGTTTCAGCAGGCTGCTTATCATCGGTGTCTGAGGACAAGGCTGAACAGCTTTTGTGTACTGTTTGTCCTACAGTGACAAGTCAAAACCAGATCAGATAACTGATTCAAAGATCACTCCATCCTCAGATCCTTTCCCCATTTTATAGATCTCATCCATCTATGATATTGTGTCATGACATGGTGCCATTTATCTTTTTATTAAGTCAACTTTTCCTAAACACAATTAATCTACGTCTGTTCCATGTGGCAATATCCTAAAGTTTCCAATTTTTCTAGTTCGACATTAGTCATAAACCCCATTCAGATTTAATTTGAACTGTAACTGCGCTGGTCAGTGATTTTAATCCTGTCCCCACCACATACTGTGTCTGTACTTTTCACTTTCTTCTACATAGCCCCCATTAACTAAATAAGCGAAATAATTACAGTAAATCATTATGTTAAAAATAACGCTTAACCTGTCTATTACAGAGCCAGCAACTGTAATTAGCCAGGAGCTAAAAAGCTGTCAGAACATTGACTTTTACTTTTAGGGAGAAGGAGAAATATTTATTACCCATCTCCCTGTGTAATATTAATCCTGTCTGAATGGGGCAGTAGCCTTAGCCAAAACCCATCTTGTCTTGTACCTGCAATTCATTTTGGTCTGTTTTCTTCTACCATGAGTGTAGAAATTTGCAGATTGTCTGATGTGATTACATATTAATGTGGCTCATAGTGCCACAGAGAGGCTTCAAAAAGAAGCTCTCAATGTTGAGGCTCTGTTTACACCAGCCAGTTTCATACATCCTGACTGTTACTCCCAGAGAGGAGTCCAGGCTGCTGTACATGCACCCAAAGCTGAAATCTGTTACACATTTTACATTTTAGCAGCCAAACACACAAGCTATACTTTACTAATACTAATACATCTCTCAAGACTGACCAACCAAAACTACTCCCAGTGAATATTATCATGCCTTAACCAACATGCTGTCAAGCTTTACATACCTGTAGTTCCTAATTTGCATTTTATACATGCAAACTGCTATTCAGATATCAATCTGAGCCATCTAGCCGGAGACACAATTATCTATTATCCCATGTACTTTTTGTATGTGGATGTGACTTCTTGTCTTCCATGTTTGGCCAGTTTAACATAAAGAAGAAAACACTGAACTACTTAAGTTGCAGAAGAGCAAAAAGCAGCCTTTTCTGCTTTTTGTGTGTTTGAGATCTCCTTTTAAGAAGATTTAGCCTTCAAGCCTCTGTAAAGCCTGAGGTCAGTTACAAGGAGGAGTTCGAACTCTAGTCAAAATACTTTACACAAGTCACAACTTTAATATCAGCTTCAAGTAAAGCGGACAGTTAATCTTGTGAAATGTGTCTAATGATTACAGAGAAATATAAAAACGTATCCTTTCGGGGTTTTTTGTTTGTTGAGAAAATAGAACTCGGAATCGGAAAAAGGTGCCGCAGTACCACTTGGACTTTCATGAAGAGTCACAGCAATAAGCGTTGAGGAACAAATAAATAAATGTGGTTTTCCTCAAAAAATATGATATTGAGGAAAACCACATTTAGACAAAGAGGCTATTCTTCAAACCTTCTTTCCACAGTAACTCAGTAACATCAGCTCGGTTTTCCTCCAGAGGCTCTACCTAAAAGAGCGACATTAGCTGACTTCTTAGACCACAGGACAGTCCAGTCATGAAAAGGAACAGCCACTGAGGTTAATTCTCATCGCTCTGCAGGAGGTCTGCAGCCTGCAGGATTACACACTGAGATCACTGAAGGGGGTCTACTCAAAATAATGATCAGTCACTGCAGCATCACAGAGGTTCAACAGATCAAATCTTTCAAATCAAACATCAATTCTTCCACTTTTTTGGAGGAATTCTGTTGCTTGAAGTGACACTGAAGATAATCTCATTTTCCGACTCCGTTTGTGGCTAAGATGGGGACTCGAGGTTGAGACTGACTCGAGTCGTACTTAAGTCGCACAAACAGTGACTTCAAACTCGACATGAGACTCAACCTCAACAGACTTCAGACTTGACTCGGACTCCAGGTGTGGGACTCGTGAACAATGTTTAATTTTAGGAAACATCTTTCGAGCTTGCTGTTATTCCCCTCCCTGTGTTACCTATAACCTGCCTACGTAACACACTACGTATCAGCCGCACAGCCACACGTGAGAGAGGACAACAAACACCGGCAGCAACATCATGCAACAAGACCCAAACAAAGAAGCGCTGACTGCAAAATAGGTAAGTAACCTGAAGTTAGTAAGCATGTTTAGCTCAGCATTTGCCATCTAACGTTAGCTTGCTTCTTGCTTTAACCCTGACTGTCGTTCGTTATGAAAAGATGAATGAGCGTTTATTTGCTTGCCAAACTTGTGGTGGTCAATTAACGTAATCATTTACGTCCCGCTGGCTGCCATCATGTTAAGTATTAATGTTGGCTGCAAACTGGTTACAGGTTTATTGTTGATCATGTAACATTACATTTTTATTGAGTTACCATTCCACTGTTTGACAGTCTGCGGAGTGTGTTGACTTACAGTAGTTTATAAGCTGTCATTAATTGCATTGCACATTACATGGTTGTGCTTTGTAAGTGAAAAACACGTTGCAGTTACAGAATCCCTTATAGCTATGCTTAGTACTAAGCAGCCTGGATTGAGGACAGCAGGTGATACAACATTCACTATAAACACAAGTGACTTGAGACTAGACTTGGACTCTAGCTCTTGACTTGTGAGCATCTCTGGTTTATGTCACCTTGGCAGTAGCTGTTATTGACATTCTGTAATTCTTCAGTGAAGTTTATACTATCAGATTTTAACCACCTTGGATTCTGGGTGGAAAAAGGAGAGCAGCCAAACCCAGTGCTGTCTCAGCCTTTTCCACACACAGCAACAGCACAAAGAATATTCTGTAACACACACAAACACACAGGTTCGGCATTTCGGCATTAAATGCAAAACGATGTCTACTCGTGACCCCTTTTGACAGGTGTATTTTCATCTGAGGTTCTCAGGTTCAACTAAACGCTGATCATAAAGAAAGATCAGAGTAAAGTCGGGAAAAATATATGTAAGTTGTAAAGTAGAAATATGTTAATGCACATGAAGACAATATCTTCAAAAATCTAAATGCACATACCTACCCATCATTAGTCGGAGAATTAACAATTTCAAATAAACACAGGATACAAATTCTCCCACCTCCTCCACAGAGAGCTTTTAAAAATGAAGCCAAAATATGAAGGAAATTTTGCTAACTGCTCATCCACTACATAACAAATTATTGCAAA